GAATTGTATTCTAAAAAGCGTAAGAAATTTTAAACTTTTTAGGCTTGTATGTCCTCAAGTCAGTTGTTTCTTCCAACTTCGCGAATGCACACCAAATACCAGTGGCAATATATTTTAAAGGGTATCTAAAATTGCAGACTCTTTCATGCGATACAAAGTCCCATAAGTCTGCCACTCTTTAGTGATCTCTCCTCGGTGATGCTACTTTTCGCAATAGTCGATCGATTACCGAGCCGTTTTCGCATAGAGATGGCTTCGCCGGGATGTCGAAGAAGCAACCGGCCTACTCCTTCGCATCTTCGAAGGACTTCATTTTTCAGCAGCTGACTCCGTACGTTCTGCGAGATCATCGTGCAATTCTCCACCCATTTCGACACGTACGCAAAGTCCGCGAGCAATTGCAACGCGCCGTGTTCGCTGAGAAAATAATACATTTTCACGGTTTTCGTCGAGCTTCTCGAGATCCATCGAGAATCGTGCCTAATTTCGATTCACCTACCTGAATTTGATACGATGCGAATAAATGTAATCCAGCCACGCCTCGCACATGATTTTTAGGATCATGTTGGACGTCTCTGGATCTTGAACGACTTCCAACACTGGAAGTAGTACTCTCTCTGCGCGAATGAGGAACAAGTAGCTTAGAAATCTCGTCGGATTCAAATTATAGAGAGAGAGAGAGAGAGAGAGAGAGAGGGAGAATTCAGAGAGTCTCTGTTTGCTCTTTACCGAAATAGGGTTCCACGTAAAGGCTGGCAGCTATCGGCCCGACGTCGCTTTCTTTTCTCCAATGACTCGTTCGTGGGAAGCACATGTGCAGATTAGCCAGACTCACGATCCGGCAGATCTTGGCGAGAATCTCGATACATTTCGCGGGACACTTCTGCGCGGACACGCGTACCATTACTTATACGTGACCGATTACGTACTCGCCGTATTCAATATCAACGAGAAATCGCGATCGCGATTACCGTCGAACACAGAGAAGTGGGATTACTTTACTCGAAGTAGATTCACGTTGACGTTCACTTCAGAGACGATTTTCGCCCTCATCTTAGCGCAAACGTAGACCTGAACGCTGATGGAATCGCTCGAGAGCGCGTTCCCGTGATCGGCGAGCTGTAACGTATATAAAAGAGATCCATTACGACAACACGCTTCGCGTCTTCGCGTTTGTGTTATTCGCTATACGTGAATACCTTTAAATAAGAAAGTTTTTCCAAGAAATTCGCTACGTCGCGCTTGATCAGAAAAAAGAATACGTCTAGCTCCCAGGTATGAGCTATGATCTTTGCCTCCTGTACGATCCACAGTCTCGCGGTGTGTATCGAATGATCCAATCGATGAAGAACGACGATCTGTTCCGAGAGCGGGAGCTCCGTTAACGGTGCACCGATCACCCATTCGCCACCCGCTTCGCATTCGTTGCTCGATTCGACCAACGATCGAAACAATTCTCCGAACTTTTGACCGGTGTCCGTCCCCTGAAAGTGGTTCACCGACGACGGATCTATCTACGCGAACGCGCATGTGTCTATATCTAATTGATATCAATGCTCGAAACGCCTAAGCGAAACGCGATCGAGGAAAAGAAAAGAACAGAAAAGAAAGATAAGGAAAGAAAAGTCGTTCACCTCGGTGGACGTCTTCGACTGGCATTCGAAAGACGAGGTGTAAGACGATCTGAAAAGATGGTCCCATTCGGTGATGGTCGCGTGGTATCCTAAAGCGTCGCAAAGATTCTGCAACGCCGATCTGACCGTTTGCGGCACTGAAAATGATTCGGACACGTCGGGCAAGTGCGATATGTGTGAACGTGTATGCGTGAACGTTCGTACGCAACCGAGACCATCTTTACCGCGATTCCTCTGGACGAATTGGCTCAGCCAGTCTTCGAGTTGACGCGCCCCATGACTGTGACGCGTGGCAAGAGCTTCCGGAGACCACCAAAGAACGACGTGATCCAGAATCGCCGATAGGGCTGCCCATGCGATTTCTCGATAATAATTCTTTGCTCTTCTCATCGCGCTGCTCCTCAACGTCGTCTCGTCTTTCGTTCGGTGCGTACCGTGCGTCCGATCGTAAATCGTTTCGTTTTCATGCGGAAAGAGACGAGCTAATTTAAACACGACGCGCTGACACGAAGTCGTGGGACGATGACCAATTGATACGCGTACAGTGGATAAAGCTGTTCGTCGTTACCATTACCGTTACCATTTATAATCTTCAGCGCGTCGTTCCCTAATAGTTTTGGTGAAACGATTTGCGCGACGTTCACCAGTCTCAACGCTTGCTCGTTCTGAGCATCGACCAATTGTTGAACGCTCTCTAAGTTCGAGCAAGTCTCCGACTCGTTCCGCGTCGACGACACGTTCTCACAGGTCGGGGGCGTCAAGTGTCTCGTCAAGGTTCTACGAATCGATCGAGATAGAATCGCATGGTCGTCGTGAAGGGAGGAGAGATCAGGATGACGGAGAAACGAGTTAGCGCGGTGTTGATGCATCGCTGACCTGTAGATCTCGATACTGGAATCTTCTGATGCGTCGCCGGCGTCGGCATCGGTACCGACGACTTCAGCATCTCCGGACGTCGTCGACGACGGATCGGTTCTCTTGCGAGGCTCGTATCTTGCCAGAAGGCACTCGATCAACTCGTGGCAGGACTCTTCCGCTCGGTTTTTAGCCAGCATCTGAAAGCCAGGCGAGGGCGAGCCCGAGACTAGATTCGAGAACAGAAGGAGTCGTGTTCCGGTCGCGACAGCTGCGGCAACGAGCGTCTCACCTGCAATATTCGCGTGACCGACATCTTCTTCAATGGTTCCAACATGTACGGACAATCGTTGCGGTAAACGTTCGTTGACGATTTCAAGGCATTGATGTCCTGGTCCAAAATATCGTTGTAAACGTTCACCAATCTGCGAAATTCGTACATACGATACAGTAATACGGCCGCTATCAGCGAACCGGGTCGTTTCGCGAGCTTGTCACCTGAAGATAATTTCGATCATCTCGTCCGCGTCGCGATCTACGATCGTGTCGATCAAATTCCGAACGAGCTTCGCGAGGACCTTCATTTTCCGCTTCAACACCGCAGAGAAATTTCGCATTTTGTACGCGTAAATCGGGTGCGAGTCGAAGTTCTTTGACGCCGCCGCACCGATTGATTCGTACTCTTTCACGATTTCGCGTAAATCGTTCGCGATTCCTTTGTACACCTAAATGCGAAATAAATCGGCGGTCAGGTAACGACTCTGAGGACATGCCGAAGCTGAGGAGACATGCGTGTATAGCGTATAGACGACACCTCGGTATCGCAAGATCTGGGATCAGTGATCGTATCTCGAATGACCAGAGTTATGCGTTCCGCGAGGTCGCTCGTTCTCTCGGCGAGTCGAGACGCGTCGTCGAACCACCGAGGTTGCCCGACGCGGAACGTAGCGTCGGACAACCGCGGGGTAAGCCACTTGCCGATGTTCGCTCTGTAATTACTGTCCATCTTTCGTTCGCCGTACTATATCGCATGCAGTGCTTCCGTGTCTTGCGATATCGACTCACTCCGAACGATCGAACGCAATGCCGACGAGGAACGAGTAATGAGCAACGTTTAACGAGTCGCGAACGCGAACAGCGAAACTCTAATAATCGCTTCGGGCAAAACGAATCGAATCCATTTCTACGATTGTATGCGGTCTGCCGACGGTCAAAGAGCAGCCGGTCGAGTTCGCTCAGTTGTCGTATCCTCGAATACTCGCATCGTAGAAATGAATCCTCAGGTACGCGTCCGGTGCGATGACTCGCAGCGTACGAATTAATAGTGTCGTTAAATGCTCGCTGTCTTTCGATCGTCCGTGACTGCGCGAATCTCTCAACGACTAACGACGCCGGACGACCGACCCTGACCGTTCCCGTTCGGTAGGCGCGTCGCCGCGTCGCGTCGGTGGCGTTGCCAAGGAAACGTTGTTTCCGTGGCACCCAGCTACGTCGAACGGTCGAAGCATCGTCGTCGTCGGTACCACGATCTCATAAACTACCCGGCCAGTGCCGTGGAAGTGGGTGCAGTGGTCAACGACGCGTTCCGTTGAGTCAGACTCTGACAGTATTTAATCGAAAGTCGTAGAGAACGTTTCTCGGATCGAACGTCGCTTTTTATGAATCAACCATGTTCGGCGATCGATCGGTGGAAGCTGTGAGTTTCGACTCGCAATTGTCAATAGCAAAGTACGTGGGAGAGCGTCATCGCGTCGCATAAATCATCTGCCGTTCTCTGTTCGTCGATATCGTTCATTCATTATCATCGATCACTTTTCAGATCGCAACTATCGGCGAACGTGCAAACGACGGAAATAGTTTACAACGAGAGACCCGCGCAAACGGTCGAGACTAGGACGATCGAGGTATCGAATAACGAGTATATTTTACAGTAACGATACTTTCGTTCAAACCGTAACTTTTCGTTGGTGTCAGACTCAAACGGTGACCGGAGATGAAAGGGAACCGAAGGTGAACTACGATAGATTGGCAGAATTTTTAAATAGAGTGACACCGAATGTGTTGGAAGCGTTGGACGAGTCGTATGGAACCGATGCGTTCGACGATTATGAGCCGAACACCGACGAGGAATCGGTCGCTGGTACTCGATTGCTGCAAACCATTAAAACCACCGGTGGATCGGATTCGCAGGTACTTAGTAGCTACATAGTATGTAACACCATTTGAGTTGATCGTCGCTCATCGTACCGTTTGAAATCGTGTTCGCGTCGTTTCGTCAGATGAAGATGACCGATATGTGTTGGAGCATCGGGGGAGGAACCCTGGTCGTTTCCTATGGCGTTACTCAGCACCGCACATGGTGCGAACATTTGTCCAAGATAGTGCTGTACGAGCGAACGAGACAGGGTGGTACTTTCGCCGACGAACCGAGCAAGACGTTAGAAGCTAACGGATGTGTGACTGCGATGGCTCATCATCCGACCGAACCGTCGATCGTAGCAGTCGGCTTGTTCAACGGTAACGTAAACGTGTGGACGGGAAGGACTTATGGACGAAAATAATGATAACATTTTGTACCGATGCGAAGGAGACGTCGTAGTATGGAACTTGAGGGAAGACGCGAGCTCGGCCCCGGCGACGGTAGTTTGCACGCACGACGACAGCGTGACTGGAGTCCACTGGAACGCGAGGACCGCCAACGGCGACGTATCGTTGCTGACCACTTCTGGCAAGGACGGTCACATCTTGGTTCATAAAATGACTGCGAACCATACGATCGCTCGCGCATTCAAACGGTAATCTATTAAGGACGTACATAGACAGAGGTAATCGCGATGACCTCGCCTCGCTTGATCACGTCTCGCGGTCTTAGATTGAAAGTCGCTAAGGAACATGATCAAACGGAGAGCTCGAGGACGCGCAGTGCCGGCGGAACGCGCGAAGCCCGAGCTGTCGAGCCTGGATCGTGCGTCACTACCTTCGATTTCTCGTCCAAGGATCCCATGTTCTTTGTCGTTGGTACCTTGTCCGGTGGATTGTATAAGTGTACCATGGACCCGGTCGTCCCTACTGTCCAAGGTACGAATACATTGGTCGGTATTCAGAGTCGTTACTTATTTTTAAGATCGTCTGTCGTGTACAGGAAACAAGGATTTAAGCAAATGCTTAAGGCGATCTTAAAAATAAGTAACGACTCTGAATAGGGGCCATACGATTGCAAAAGATGAACATAGATATACGCGTGACTTCGTTCGATCACAGGCGACGATGCGACGGTGGATCCTGTGATAGCCGAGTACGAGAGATACGAAGGTGGTAGCGTGACGTGCGTCCGATGTTCTCCGACTCGGAGTATCTTCGTCGCTGCCGGGACGGACAAGGAGATTCGCATATACGATTTCGAAAAGGTAACGTGTCTCGTGTTCGCGTAATGGCAATGCACCGTAGTCACCGTAACGAATTCGGATCGTTGTTCCAGCACGATTGCCTGCATTCGATCTCTTCAGAAAATACGATCATAGGTTTGACGTGGATGACCTGGAATCGAGATATTTTAGCGACTTACGGAGTCGGCCCGAAGATCGGACTGTATGACGTCACCGACGGTAGACTCGTGACTAACGCGAATTTTGAATCACCGGATAGACAAAATTCTAGTTGTCTCTGTGTCGATCCTAATGAGTAAGTATATAATATACACGCGTATGGTACATAAGATTCATTGCTCCGCGTTATATTCGGCTGGCAGGAATTTGGTGGCGATTGGTGATACCCGAGGAAACTTAGAGATCTGGAAGGTACCGAGACGATTGTGACCGAATTATAAGGATCGAAAACAAGCCTTCGAGCATTACGCGATGGATAATAAAAAATAAAAATAAGTTCTTTCCTTTTCCTGTAAAAAGGTCTTTATTTTTTCCGATTCCTGATCTACATTCAATAGTAATAACCGACACCGTCGTTGTGATACGTCGGACAATTTCCAAGTTAGCAGAAGACTATACGAGATTTTGAGACAAACAGGAAAATGCTAGCAGAAAGATTAAAAATATATTTATTACAACGGTGTCGTAAAACGACTCCGAGTACTTATCGGATCGAGATCTGGATGAGTCATACTAAATATCGATGGCATTCGTCACTTGTTACTTACGTGTCGTCTCGTATCGCTGCAACGAAAACAAAATCGACAAATAAAAGTTACGTCACGGTGATCATGTACAATACAAGACGTACCCTCACTACCCAAGAGAAACGACGACCGCGTCGCGAAGAAATGGGGATCATTCTCGTTCAGCTTCGTACAGCTGGTCGAATCTCACTCCTTCCTGAAAATAATTCTGAAAACGATACCAAATGGTCAGACGCAGATGACGTTCGATCTACATCCTGAAAAGGACGATTTCGGATGTTTGTCTTGAAAAAGACCGGCTGTGATTCGTCCTGAAAAGGACAGATTTCGGATGTTCGTCCTGAAAAAGACGGACTGTGGTTCGTCCTGAAAAGGACGATTTCGGATGTTTCGTCCTGAAAAGGACGGTTTCGGTTGTTCGTCTTGAAAAAGACGAGCTGTGGTTCGTCCTGAAAAGGACGGTTTCAGTTGTTCATCTTGAAGAAGACGGGCTGTGGTTCGAGAAAAGGACGGTTACGTACGAGAGTTGTCGCTGCGTTTGCGAAACATTTGCGGGCCCTGAGAAGGGCCCTAAAGAAAAATGGGGATAGCAAAAGAGGAAATGTGGACGGGATATACATAATGTGATGTATAGCGCAAGGTAGGAAAAAATAAGATTCGTAGTAAAATCGATCGACGGCTGGAGTGCTCGAAAGTAAAGTTTGCGTTGCATTTCTCTTCTTCCCTCGCTCACCCTCTCCCTCTCCGTCTCTCCGTCTCTCCGTCGCGTGCACTCTTGCTCGTCGTTCTCTCTGCATTCAGGTTTAAGCATGTACAGTAAAAAGAAAGGAAAGGACGAAAGGATGCTTGGGGGAGGGGGGAGGTAGGGGATTAGAAAGAAATAAAGCGTGGACAAAGATTGTCTATCGTGCAAGGAAACGTAGTTTGTGAAAATTTTCCTCCGTACGTCGATTCACTTCTTCGTCTTCATAATTTCTGTTTCTTCCTTCGAAGATGCTGCCTTCATCCGTGCGTTGAACTACTCGCGGTCGAAGAAACTTTCGTTACGATGTATGTTACTATGAATGTATCAATATGTTTTACATATATATCGTTTTTTAAAAGCTAAACGGTTCGAGGCTTCGAGAACTGATCGATCGAGAACATTTTCAGGCGTTCTTCCTCCGTCGGACATCGGCTTTCTCTTCGTCTTTCGCTGTATCGAACTTTTGCGTTTCGCGATCGACGCTGCGACCTACTTACGAGTGGGTAGTAACAGCGCCGTTACACGCGCGTCCAGTATTATTAATCGACGTCTAGATTTTGGTACACGAGGAGTATGCGGACGAGCGTAAGTACGTCCGTGTCCCACCTACGTGATTGTGCCGTTCATTGAAATACAGTTTCTCGAGTGACTCGATTCCGGTCATGTATCAGACTTCAATGGTTTGCATCCAGAATCCGTTTCACATAGTTCCTACTTGCTCGGCGTTTCCATTCATTTTTAAACTTTCCGATCAGCTTCGTAAACTTATTACCGCGCAATATCGACGACGCACTCTTAACTTCGTAGTTCCGTCTTCTCGCACACGTTTTTTTCTCTTCTGCCGCTCGTCTTACCACCTCCTATTTCTCTCTCTCCTTCTTCTTCGGTCATGCTTTCATTCATTCCACCAGCTTCGCGCATACATTCTTCGTCGATTTTATACATTGATTTTTTTGGCGCTTTTTGTTATCAAAAAGACATTTTTTCAGATGTTTTTTTTTTTTTAGAAATCTTCTCGCATTCGCTCTTGTTTTCATTCGAAACTGTTTTCATGCATCCTCTTCCGGAAAGGCATTATACATTTTCTGCCATGGTCACGCTCGATTCGATTGTTTCGTTTCTAATCTATACCATGACGTGTGCAAGCATTCCTTTAAGTTTGCGTGTTTCATCGTCGCTGAGAATCGCTGCTTCTTCGCTGTATCTTCTTCTCGAATCTTCTCTTGGCTCGTCGCAAAAGCGACCGCGCCTCAAACCTTCCATCTATTCCGATAGGAGAAAATACGGCAAAAAATAATAGCTCCTCTATCGATCCTCGGAACGGGCGCGTTATCGTTAACTGTGTCGTCGAACAGATTTCGAGTCTTCTTCTTCCTCTTCCTCTTCTTAGGTATCGGTATCTCTCACGTGCGTGTATTCCATCGTCTGCGATACGGTGTCACGGCGTACGTCGGACGCGCAAACACGAGACGATCGTTTTGTCAAGAAAACGACGGGATGCGCGTCGGAAAGGTGGCCAATCGATGATCCATTCTCGTCGATCAGGCCATCGTTACTTGCTCCCGTCATCCTCTTGTCTTCTTCTTCTTCTTCTTCTTCTTCTTCTTCTTCTTGGTCCTTCCATTTTCTCGTGTATCGACATGTGTCGTTCGAATAAAATGAGACGATCCATTGGGAAATACGTCCAGTCGACAGTCTCACTTGTCTTCGATTCACGCGCGTGTGTACACGAACGATTCGTTGGTAAAATTGTTGCTGGCGATCTCTGCGAGAGATCGGCTCGGATTCGTGAATCGGGACTCGGTACTTTGATACACGTTGGTGCGATAGTAGTTTGCACATGAATCGTTTCTCTTTTTTTTTATCGTGTTACAAAAGCTACCAGGTCTCCATTTCGTACGATAAAATGATCTCGTTGTTGCGCGTAGCGACGACCTTCATCGATCCAGCTGGTATCGCCACCTTTCTTCGTTCTCATCCGGCTCCTCTCCAACTTTATTACACACGCGTCATTCGCAAGATCGAGGCCACGAAAAGAGATCCGTAGACGAGAGGACCGTCTCGATCGCCGACTCGAAACATGCGTTCGAAAATAAACAGCAGCCATACACATCGTATTAAAAAATGAATCGCTTTCTTCTCCTCTTGTTTCTTCCTCTTCTTTCAGTCCATCACCGCAATCTCATTTTTTACATAATAAAATATTCTATTTCCGCTCACCACGACTCGCACGATTCGATTTCTCATTTTAGTACGTTTCACGTATATGTACAACTGGCTATTTCTCTTCCGTCACTTTTTTTTACCCTTGTTTTATCGATCCTCCTCCGAAAAGAAAGTTACGCGAAAAATGCATCCTTAATACAATAGCTTTTTACGATACATTATTTCTTATATATGCGCTCGAGTCGAACCTTAATTGTACAGCTTCTCTCTCTCTCTCTGTGTATGTGTGTGTGTGGATGTGTCTTTTCCTTTTACAATAATAGCTATACGTTATATATCTCTATTCTTATTATCCTAAAGACTCGTGTCCGCGACGGAGTTTGATCGAAGAGACGCGAAAGAAAAAATGATCGGTATCGTTTAACATTATTTATCATAGTCGTCGTCGTCGTCTTCGTCACCGTTCGAACTCTCGTCCTTCCCGTGATTCTTTGACCATCTTCGTCACAAAGATCGCGACTCGGTAATCCTTACTTGTACAACTATATAATTTACTGGCTAACAATGAACTCGTCGATACGACCTTCGTTGAGGAACGACAGAACAAAAGTTCTGGTCGTCTCTGTTTTTTTTTTATTTTTTTGTTTGTTGCGCGATCGGATCGGGCTCGCGAACTTCTCAAAGGCGACAGGTCGATCGCCGAAGTATTATCGGCAAGTCGAAGAAAACATCTCTTGTTATCGAACGATATCTGTTCATTTTCATTTTCTATATACGCTTCATTATTTTCTCATTTTTCGCGCGACGAAATAATACGTTTGAAAGGGGGTTTTTCATCGTTGAAAGCACGACTCGTGAATCGTAGCTATAAAGCGGCTGAACAAAAAACAACCTGTCGCTTCCGAGGTAGGCAAGTTTCTTCGTACGAAATCGTTATCTCGTTCGTAGTTCACATTATTTTTGTTCACTTGTATACTCATACTCGACGTTCGGTTTAAAGCGGACCAGAGTTTCGCGGAACAATGCTCTGTACAGCGATGCTCGGTGTAAAAATGTAAACTTACAAAAGGGGAAAAGGAGGAGGAGGAGGAGGAGGAGCAGGAGGAGGTGCAGGAGGGAACGGAAAAGAAATTCAAATAAAAGAGGAAACTATCGGAAGAAATATCACGCGGTTCGTAGAATTATTACATATACGCGTAGTCGAGGACGAAGGAGAAACATCTGCGCTTAAGAGAAAGGCCATTTTTTTCTTTAGATTAGTTTCGTCTCGATAACTTTCCAAGTTACTCGTCCTTTCGAGATTCGTAGTCTCAGTCTTTGTCAACGACGAAGCGTTCGGGGCATCCGGGAGCAATTTAATTCGAAATTGAAAGCGAAGATCATCGCTTAGAATTTCCACGATATCCGTGACTCAACAAGACCAGAACGTGAATGACCGCAAAAGTGATAATCGAAATAGATAGCCAATCGAAATTCGGATATAACGTAATGTTCGCATATTCACTGTTCGTCAGAGACTTTGCAACTAGCGACTTTTGTAACAGCGAACGTTGTCGTTGACGCGCAAAAGCCTGTGGATCTACGAATCGCGAAGATGACGATAACGACGACGACGACGTCTCGTCCCTTTAGCTTGCGTAGCTGTGTCTACACGGATCTGTATAGGTCACTGACCGATTAAAAGCAGTAATGAACATCTGGCAGCGCGAGTAATTTGATAATTGACTCGATTCGAAGTACGTACTATGTACGTATCGTTCGTTCGTCGGTTCGCGCAAACGTTGCTCGCTTCGCCTCGTAGAGCCTCGAAACGAAGGGGGAAGAAAAAGCGACGTGTCACCCTCGGACACACTGG